GAGACACTCCGCTTCGCAGCCGCGCTTCTCGTCCACCATTTCCTGAATGTCGCAACGTTGTGCATCCTGTGAGCAAATCTTAAAAACACGACGATTATTGCGCAGTCCTGAATTCTCTTGAATTTAAGCTTTTTTCTCCGGGGACGCTCCCGTTTGCGTAATCCCGTGCAGAATCCCGATGCTCCCGTTTGTAATCCGTGCAGAACAAACCCACTTGTTCTGCAAAGGCGTTGTCGCGTAATCCAAATCCCTCCGTTGAGGTGAGGAAAACAAAAAAGGCACTTTTTGACCAACCGGTCCAACAATCGTGTCATATTTTTCTCTTTCCTGTTGTTTTCAATCTAGAAATTTTGGCAAATGTTACCTCGAATGTTCTGTCACTCGGAGCGATTTTGGGGTGTGTGTGTGTGTGTGTGTGTGTGTCCCAATTCGGCTCTATTTTTCGAACCTCCAGAGTTGGTTCTTATCCGAAGGGTTACACATCCTCATCTTTACATCGGCCCGGCCCTCCGGAGTACGGTAGGCGCTCAGACACTTGGCGGAGTGAGGATGGTAGACGGTGCCGTCTTTTTTAAAGTGCCAGATTAGGATTTCCGGCACGGGCGTCTTATCCTTCGGACAGTTCCTCATGCCGACGAAATCCTTCTGCTCCGGCACTTCGGCGCAGAGTTCGGTCACGGAGTTGAAGCGGATTTCCAAGTTGGAGGTGTACTCGAAGAACTGATTGCCGCCCTGGCCGTGGCATCCGAAGAGGCTCACGTGGGCCCCGGTGGGATTGTGTTCCGGCGAATTGTAATCCAAACATTCGGAGGTGATGCCCAGATTGTGAATGGCGCCGTGCCAGCCCGCCCGATCCTCGGGGACGTGTAAGTCGGGGAAGACGGTCTTCAGATACCAGTCGAAATTCTGACACTGTAGACGCTGGCGTAAGAGTTTGCGTTCAGCCAGGTCACCAAAGTTCTCCTTGCGGGCCGGAGGATTGCGGTTGTAGAAATGTTCTTTGTAGCCGTCCATCCAGACCTCGGCCGCCCGGGCGGTGTTCTGCAGAAAGTTAGGCCTGGCGTACGGGGCCCGTTTGGGAAAGACGTGCCCGACGTGGGAACACGGGTGGATCTCCAAGACGCCGCCGCACTGCCAGACGCGGAAGGAGAGCTCCAGATTCTCGCCGCCCCAGACGTCCATCCCGGTGTCGTAGGTGCCGAGGTACTCAAAGTATTTCTTGCTGACGGCGAAGAGGCCTCCAGCCATGGTGGGCGAGCGGATGGGGTCGACTTTGGACTGGCGCCGGCGCCGCTCGTACTCGGGGACTACCTGCCACTGAAACGTCAGCCGCCAGTCGAAGCCGCCGATCATGGGCTCGCCCGACTGCATGTAGAACTCAAAGGTGTTCCAGTCGATGGTGTCGATCACCGGACAGACCACCACCGAGTCGTTCTGGGCGATGCGCTCCAGCAGGGGCTCCAGCCAGCCGGGCACGCACTCGCAGTGGCAGTCCAGGAAGGTCAGCACCTCGCCGGTAGCGAAGGTGGCGCCAATCAGCCGGGCCCGCACCAAGCCTTCCCGCTTCTGGGTGCGGATCAGGCGCACCCGGGGCAAGCGGCTGAGGTAGGTCTCCAACTGGCCCTTGAGGTAGGGCTGGTCGCTGAGGTCGTCCACCAGGATGACCTCTTTGAGGAGGACGGCCGGGCCGGTCTCCAAGACGCTGTGGACCGTCCGGAGCAAGGTGGACCAGGCTTCGTTGTAGAAGGCGATGACCACCGAGGTGGTGGGCAGGCGCCGGTAGGCGTAGCGCTTGGCCCGGCACTCCGCCAGGCGCCCGTCGTGGATGTGGCGGTGCAGGGAGACCCGGTCGCTCAGGTAGATGTTGATGGCATAGCGGTCTAGCAGGCTCTCCTGCTGAAGCTTCTGCTCGGGGTCCAGGTTCAAGTGAGCCGCTTTGCCCCACTCTCCCGGGGCAGAGGGATCCGGAGGGGGCTTGCGCTGCACTGGCTGGTCCAGCTGCTCCGGGGCGGTGGGGGGTCCTGCCTGGAGGGTCCCCCTCCCACCTCCCTTAGCCCCGGCGCCCGCGGGCGCCCCGAAGGGAGGGGAGGGCAGCTGGAGAGCCAGCAAAGCGGCCGCGCTCAGCAGCCCCAAAAGCGCGCAAGCCCGGCGCAGCAGACGCGCTCGCATGGCCGAGGAAGA